TCCTGGGCCTCAGTGCACGCGCGAGTAGTACAGAGAGCTGCCTGAAGTGATGATGCAAATGAATATAAACATTGAAAATAGTAATTCACTAATCATACGAAAACATTCAAATTTCTTGAATAAATTAGTAAATTAGGGCATATACAACCCAAATCAAATTCCGATTACTCAAACAGATGCTCGAGACCAGTATCCTTATGTTAGGTTAAATAAGATTTGTCAGGAAACAGGACAAGCGTTTCCAGACGCGGGTCTTAAGTCATGATGACTTTCAGCTGGAGTTTTTGGTCATCTGACCGAGGACTTCCGCTGGCTTACCAGCCCACTCGTTTATAAAATATGGTTATGATTATAACCATTAGAGATTCTTGAATCCAATATCCTTAAATACACAAACAAAATACACATAAAATCCCTCAGTAGTTGCATTATCAAGTTAGCATAGAAGGGTTGAAGTTAAATAACATTTTTCAAATGTCTTACAAAAAAACTAAATTGGGACCTTTCCAGACCAGTTTTTTATGCCATTTTGCTATTCACCAGTTTTTAAGTTTAGTATAAGATTAGCGTACATAAATTTTCAACAATGGTCTTGAGGGCACACAGATGTTGAGGGCACACAGATGTTGAGGGCACACAGATGTTGAGGGCACACAGATGTCAAAGATACACAAAAATAACATTAAGTTGACTTTATTCAGGATAATCAGTATAAAACACTGATCTATTTCTGATCAGAAGAGACATCATTAATTATTTCACAGAAACCAATTTGTCTAATAAAATTAACACAAGATAACTTGTACAACCTAATATCAAGATAATTTCTTCCTTGGAGGGAAGGAACATCAACACCGAAAGTTTAAAGCCGACCAGAAGTAGCATTTTGCAGGTTTTCCAAAATCTAATAAAATTTATGCCTAGACATCCTAAACCCATGAAACGTTTCATCCGTTTCATGCATTGCATCAGAGAAAACCATTAAACCCGTAAGGGTCATATAGCTCATATGTAATGAGAGGCCTTGAAATACGATCTAAGCAAGAGATAGATAAGTCCAGTTCCTAGGATCAAGAGCCCCTCACCAGCTTCAAGGCAAAATAAAAATGCAGTAAGGTTCGTAATAATATACCTTTTCGAGATTTAAAGGGGTAAAATGTCACCTACATATATATATCATTAAATATACCAACCTTTTTCCAGCCTATAACTGGAAAACAATATTTGGGAATGACCTATGTAGCAGTGGGCACAGGTCACCCACGCGTGATGGTCAAATAAGTCGTTCTCGAATAATAAAAGACAATTTTTGAGAAAGCAAAAGAAAATAATGGTGAAAGTTTTCCGAAAAAAATAGGGAGGTTTCTCCTCGTTAAATATAAAAATATAGAACCGCGGATTTTATTATTTTTTTTTTTTCAAGTTTTCGTTTCTCTCGTTCATTGTATTTAAAATCTGTTAAATTCTGTTAGAAAAAAAATTGATTTTGATTATTTTTAAAAATCATTAAAATTCTGATAAATTCTGTTAGGAAAAAAATTGATTTTGATTATTTTTTAAAAATCAGGTTTGGTAACACTGGCAAAAAAAAAAATAACAATTTGGCACTCTCACATCCCAATATTAATACATACATATATTTCTTATTGTGACACACTAGCTAATACGCGAGTTTCTTCATAAAAAAAAGGGCAAAATGAAAATTAAACAGTTCGAAGTAAATAACAAGGTGTGTTATATTGAAGTTCACCGATGGTAAAACTTTAAAGCCAGTTAGGAAAATCATTTCCATGTTATTGATGTGATTCCAACCATTCCAGGTTATACAAGAATGGTATACAATACTAACAAGATGAAAGCTGAGACACAAGTGCAGCATCTGGGTATCTTTATTGTAGACGTTTCGCCATCCAGTGGCTTTATCAATACAGATTCTAGGACATAATTTGAAGACAGTAGAACTATGTACAAAAGATGAGGTAATCAGTCCCTCAGCCGTGGAGTTGGTGTGAAGAGTACCGTAGTTGTGAAGACTCTGGAGCACAGGCAAGGAGCCTGGCGCTTATATACTAACGTCAGGTGGACTGGGACGGGTAGCAGACGAGGGCATAGTCACTGGCAGGCGTGATTCCCCAGTGGAACTAGGTCATATCCAAAGGGATAAGTTGTAGTTGTAGTAGCCGTGGTGTGCTCTTCACACTGACTCCAAGGCTGAGGGACTGATTACCTCATCTTTTGTATATAGTTCTACTGTCTTCAAATTTGTCCTAGAATCTGCATTGATAAAGCCACCGGATGGCGAAACGTCTATAATAAAGATACCCAGATGCTGCACATGTGTCTCAGTTTTCATTCCAGGTTATGTAAATAAATGATTTACAAATTCGACAGGTGCCTCTCTTATTGATTCCAAGTTTTATTGAACTATTTCAGTAAAACCTCAAATTTACACCTGATTAGATTTATTGGGTATCATCCTTCTTGTAGAATTTATCAGTAATAACGTTTTGAAGCCATTTAGAAGAAGCACTTCGAAGTTATTGAATAAAAAATGTTAACTTTTATTAACAAAGTTGACAAACGGACTTTTGCCAAACAATATGAGCGCAACTCCAGTGTTGGGGAAACAACACCAGTGGTGAAAATTTGAAGCCTACCAGACGAGTTATTTTCCGGTTATTACACGAATTCCATTGATTCTGTGAGGGATTTACGCGAGAACACATTTTCATTAAACATACACGTATGTACAGAAATTAATTTGTTCAACTATACACGTATGCATATTATTTAAGTGTTGAATTTTGTAGCCAGGGTGATTTTCCAAGATTTTTTATGGTAAAAACAAGCGCCCTTATGCTCTTATATACCGGAAAACACGGAGATAATACTTTCTGCCAAAGAACTACAGAATAAAAGTGAAAAAGTTTGCTTGACTTAAACATTTATTGATAACTATTAACAATTTTATTCTCTCGCATTGCCACTTATATAGTACACAGTGTAAATTCCATTATGGTCTATTAACTTCTGTGATATAATAAGGAACCCAACAACCCATGCAAGCCTGACTCTATGGTTTTCAGGCCATCAGATAGTACATTTGAGTCTACGAATATTTTCGACAAGGTTTCAGCAAGTGATACGTCTTATGCGCATCTTGCATGTGTTAATTTGCAGTTCGTATTTCTCTTAAGCGGGTTATTAGGTGTCTTGAGGGAGTGAAACAGAAGCACTTATGCCTATTGAAGATTAAGCTAGGTTAGGTAGGTTTGTCAGGAAAATGACGAGTGCTTCGTGGTGCTGGTCTTAGTCACATGATGACCAGCAGACGGAGTTTTTGGTCATATGACTTTCCGATCTACTCCTTTAAAATTATGGTTATAATTATAACCATTAGATGCTACTGTGTATGTCTGTCTATTGAAGATTTTGAGGTACTGTTTCTTGGCCTATTACATGATTTAATACATAGGGAGCTGATGTTACGTGATAGAAAGGATACTTCTCTCGGATCTCGAAGCAATCAAAAGAAGGTTAAAATTTTAATAGTAGAGAAGTAACTGGGAACAATTGAGGGCTTATGAAATATATTTGCAATTTTTTTTATGTGAATGATAATATTTCGAAGATTCAGGATTCTCAAGAGAGAAATGACAGCTGAAGATCTGACATGTGCTGCCTCCAGGTAATCACAAGAAAGAAAACCACCGTCTTGCAAACACACACAAGATGATCAACCACTAATCTCTTTGGTTTAGTAGGTTACAGAAGGTTATCAATTTAGTTAAATTGATTCATAGGAATTTTTTTTTTGTTTATTAACACACTGGCCGTTTCCCACCAAGGCAGGGTGGCCCGAAAAAAAAAAACTTTCATCGTCATTCACTCCATCACTGTCTTGCCAGAAGGGTGCTTTACACTACAGTTTATAAAACTGTAACATTAACACCCCTCCTTCAGAGTGCAGACACTGTACTTCCCATCTCCAGGACTCAAGTCCGGCCTGCCGGTTTCCCTGAATCCCTTCATAAATGTTGCTTTGCTTACAATCCAACAGCACGTCAAATCCTAAAAACCATTTGTCTCCATTCGCTCCTATCTAAGAAGTTTGCGCATGCTTGCTTTAATTCCAAGCCCCTTGCACACAAAACCCCCTTTACCCAATCCCTATAACCTTCCTAAGCCAACTCCTACCCCGCCTTCCCTCCACTACAGATTTATACACTCTCGAAGTCACTCTGTTTTGTTCCATTCTCTCTACATGTCCGAACCACCTCAACAACTACTCCTCAGCCTCTGGATAATAGTTTTGATAATCCCATGGGAATTATCATGTTATTTATGCATCTTAAATATATCTTGTATTTCAGTCTAAATAATAAAACAAGATGATATTTTCATTAGAATTTTGGTGCCTTTTCATTAAAAACATCAGTGATATTTTCCCATGTTCTATAGTGCTATTATTGTTTCATTTGATAAAATATCATGTTAAAGATTAAACCATTATATTGTAAGGAGAATTACGAGTGTAATGTAAGCTGAATTACACTTGAATTATTATATATCTGCAAGAGAGAACGTCTTAGGCTCAAAAATCCTTATTGTGTTGTCATAGTATGTGAAGCTAACAAAAACAGATTTATTGATCAGGAAGTTTAGTCGTAGACCGAGTCACTAGTCCGACAGTACCTGATACCATCTACAAGTTGTCTAGCAAATACCTAGATATTGGTATTAACTACTGATGCACAAACTTTTAACATTCACAAATTTTATTGATCACCAACTATCCATGCTAAATATATTTATAATTAAAAGTGTGATACTGAATTATTTTTTAAATTATTAGCTAAAAATAATAGGAATTCCGTCACTAATTTTAATCTTGTGAATAAATTGTCTATCAGATCTCTATTCCAAGCATAACAAAATAGTAAATTATATGCACTTGAATTAAAAAAAACAGGTGTTTACGTACTCAAAGTGTTCCTGTTACAGGTGTGTTTCAACAGCGCTGCTACAGCGCCGTCCTCGCCAAGTGGGAGACGTTCAGCCAGTGAGGAACGTGAGGAGTCCCACACACCTTACACTTGTGGCAGCAGACGGGTGAGTTTCTCTTAAAATAATTATGTGGATGGCCCAACAATATATATATATATATATATATATATATATATATATTATATATTATATATATATATATATATATATATATATATATATATATATATACATATATATTGTTTTACATGATGGTAGGATTGCTGGTGTCTTTTGTCTGTCTCATAAATATGCAAGATTACAGGTACGTCTTGCTACTTCTACTTACACTTAGGTCACACTACACATACATGTACATGTTTATTTATACACACTTATCTGAGTTTTCTTTGATTTTATTCTTAATAGTTCTTGTTCTTATTACTTTTCCTTTTATATCCATGGGGAAGTGGAATAAGAATCTTTCCTCCGTAAGCCATGCGTGTTGTAAAAGTCAACTAAAATGCCGGGAACAATGGGCTAGTAACCCCTTTTCCTGTAATAATTACTAAAAAGAATAAGAAGAAGAAAATTGTCAACGTGGGAAGTTTGAATGTGCGTGGATGTTGTGCAAATGATAAGAAAGAGATGATTGTGGATGTTATGAATGAGAAGGAACTGGATGTCCTGGCTTTAAGTGAAACAAAGCTGATGGGGGTGGGAGAGTTTCAGTGGAGAGGAATAAATGGGAATAGGTCAGGGGTTTCAAATAGGGTTAGAGCTAAAGAAGGAGTAGCAATAATGTTGAAGGATAAGTTATGGCAGGAAAAGAAGGACTACACATGTATTAATTCAAGGATTATGAGGAGTAAAATAAAGGTTGGATGTGAAAAGTGGGTTATAGTAAGCGTACATGCACCTGGAGAAGACAGAAGTGTAGAGGAGAAGAGAGATTTTGGGAAATGTTGATGAATTGCGTGGGGAGTTTCGAACGAAGTGTAAGAGTAATGGTGGTTAGGGATTTCAATGCTAAAGTGGGCAAAACTGTTGTGGAGGGAGTAGTAGGTAAATTTGGGGTGCCAGGGGTAAACGAAAATGGGGAGCCTTTAATTGAGCTATGTGTAGAAAGAGGTTTTGTAATAAGTAATACATATTTTATGAAGAAGAGGATAAATAAATATACAAGGTGTCATATAGCACATAATGAAAGTAGTTTGTTAGATTATATATTGGTGGATAAAAGGTTGATGGGTAGGCTCCAGGATGTACACGTTTATAGAGGGACAACTGATATATCGGATCATTATTTAGTTGTAGCTACAGTTAAAGTAAGAGGTAGATGGGTGAAGGGTGTGATAAAAGAGAAAAAGGTAGCTTATGAGGGGTGTTTACAAAGCAGAAGTGTTATAAGAAGAGTAGAGTATATGGAGAGTAAAAGAAAGGTGAACAGAGTGGTGAGAGATTACAAAAGGAGAGCAGATGATAGAGTGGGAGAGGCACTGTCAAAAAATTTTAATGAAAATAAGAAAATTTTTTGGAGTTAAACAAGTTAAGAAAGCCCCGAGAACGAATGGATTTGTCAGTTAAAAACAAAGTAGGGGAGTTAGTAGATGGGAAGATGGAGGTTTTGGGTAGATGGCGAGAATATTTTGAGGAACTTTTAAATGTCGACGAAGAAAGGGAAGCGGTAATTTCATGCACTGGCCAGGGAGGTATACCATCTTTTTGGAGTGAAGAAGAACAGGATGTGAGTGTGGGGGAGGTGCGTGAGGCATTACGTAGAATGAAAGGGGGAAAAGCAACTGGAACTGACGGGATCATGACAGAAATGTTAAAAGCAGGGGGGATATAGTGTTGTAGTGGTTGGTATTTTTGTTTAATAAATGTATGAAACGGGGTAAGGTACGTAGGGATTGGCAGAGAGCATGTATAGTCCCTTTATATAAAGGGAAGGGGACAAAAGAGATTGTAAAAATTATAGAGGAATAAGTTTACTGAGTATACAAGGAAAAGTGTACGAAAGAATTAGAGGTAAGACAGAACGTAAGATTGCGGATGAGCAGGGAGGTTTCAGAGTGGGTAGGGGATGTGTAGATCAAGTATTTATATTGAGGCATGTATGTGGACAGTATTTAGATAAAGGTAGGGAAGTTTTTATTGCATTTATGGATTTAGAAAAGGCATCTGATAGAGTGGATAGGGGAGCAATGTGGCAGATGTTGCAAGTATATGGAATAGGTGGTAAGTTACTAAATGCTGTAAAGAGTTTTTATGAGGATAGTGAAGCTCAGGTTAGGGTGTGTAGAAGAGAGGGAGACTACTTCCCGGTAAAAGTAGGTCTTAGGGATGTGTAACGTCACCATGGTTGTTTAATATATTTATAAATGGGGCTGTAAAAGAAGTAAATGCTAGGGTGTTCGGGAGAGGGGCGGGATTAAATTATGGGGAAGCAAATACAAAATGGGAATTGACACAGTTGCTTTTTGCTGATGATACTGTGCTCATGGGAGATTCTAAAGAAAAATTGCAAAGGTTAGTGGATGAGTTTGGGAGTGTGTGTGTAAAGGTAGAAAGTTGAAAGTGAACATAGAAAAGAGTAAGGTGATGAGGGTATCAAATGATTTGGAAAAAGAAAAATTGGATATCAAATTGGGGAGGAGGAGTATGGAAGAAGTGAATGTTTTCAGATACTTGGGAGTTGACGTGTCGGCAGATGGATTTATGAAGGATGAGGTTAATCATAGGATTTATGAGGGAAAAAATGGTGAGTGGTGCGTTGAGGTATATGTGGAGACAAAAAAACGTTATCTATGGAGGCAAAGAAGGGAATGTATGAAAGTATAGTAGTACCAACACTCTTATATGGGTGTGAAGCTTGGGTTGTAAATGCAGCAGCGAGGAGGCGGTTGGAGGCAGTGGAGATGTCCTGTCTAAGGGCAATGTGTGGTGTAAATATTATGCAGAAAATTCGGAGTGTGGAAATTAAGAGAAGGTGTGGAGTTAATAAAAGTATTAGAGGGCTGAAGAGGGGTTGTTGAGGTGGTTTGGTCATTTAGAGAGAATGGATCAAAGTAGAATGACGTGGAGAGCGTATAAATCTGTAGAGTAATGAAGGCGGGGTAGAGGTAGTCCTCGAAAAGGTTGGAGGGAGAGGGTAAAGGAGGTTTTGTGGGCGAGGGGCTTGGACTTACAGCAAGCGTGCATGAGCGTGTTATATAGGAGTGAATGGAGACGAATGGTTTTTGGGACCTGACGATCTATTGGAGTGTGAGCAGGGTAATATTTAGTGAAGGGATTCAGGGAAACCGGTTATTTTTATATAGCCGGACTTGAGTCCTGGAAATGGGAAGTACAATGCCTGCACTCTAAAGGAGGGGTTCGGGATATTAGCAGTTGTGTATCTTTATAGGTATATGCTTCTAAGCTGTTTTGTTCTGAGCACCACTGCAAAAACAGTGATTATGTGTGAGTGAGGTGAAAGTGTTGAATGATGAAAGTATTTTCTTTTTGGGGATTTTCTTTCTTTTTTGGGTCACCCTGCCTCGATGGGAGACGGCCGATTTGTTATATATATATATATATATATATATATATATATATATATATATATATATATATATATATATATTATATATATATATTATAATAATATATGCGCGAAAGCGGTCTTAAGTTGACTGTCAGATGCTCTACCATTTGCCACAGGACTTCTAGAGGAAAGAATCAGAGCTAATACTACAGTATTATATTCCGTTAGAGGCACCACGGTCACTCCAGCTTGACTCCTTCCCAGGCCCAGGAGTTTTAACAGTAGTTCTTGTCTTACCCCCCCTCCCATCAAGCCACATCGTAATGAATCAGTTGTAATAAACAGCAGTTGTTTATTATAAATGAATCTAGCCTGTTCCAACAGGACAACAGCCTCCACCAGGTATAGGGGGGATTTCCCAATAGACCACCTCAACGCCTTAAGTGGGAGCTGGACATTATATTATAAAGCCAGTACCGAACAGCCTGGCTTGTGGTTTCGTAAGCTGGATTACGTGCATTTAGCTGGTTGATCAGGCCCTGATCATCCGGAGGCCGGTCAAGGACTGGGTCCACGGGGCGTTGACACCCGAACACACTTCCAGGTAATATAACTCTGAACAAAATTCATATTAAAATTCAAAAACTAATTTTTATGAAACAGTGATTCTGTATTAATATAATTTGTGAGGTAATTAAGCTATTATGTCTAAACGTCCAGTCAACATAATATGGGATTGAAATAGTAACCTGACCAAAGATCACTACACTAACCCACGCCCAGCGTGCTGGTCAGGTTCTAGGGTCTGTATGATTGGTTAGTAAATATTGGTTTTATGTGGTATGTTAATACTGACAAGCTGTGGAAAAAAAGCCACTTTTGTACAGTACGGAACTTTTATTACCAGATACTTTCTCAACTGTACAAAAGTTTCTTATTCTCTAGTCTATATTTACTGAGTGCTCTCATCTGCAGACTTCGCTGGTGGTGAGCGACAGCCTGGGCAGGTTCCGGGTGTGGTGAAGAAGACGCGACCAAACCTGGGCATCGCCATCGAGGGTGGAGCAGACACCAAGCAGAAGCTTCCTAGGGTCATCAATATCGCAGCACACGGAGCGGCCTTCGAGGCTGGAGGACTTCGAGTTGGCCAGCTTATCCTGGCTGTGGATGGTCAAAAACTAGACGGTGGGTTCAACTTGATTATGTCTCTTTCACCGTCTGCTTTTACATCGGTTTCTCTTTCTCTAAGCCTTTGTATAAGATTATTTGTCGAACTCGTTGAGCATTTACTAACTTTGCAATTTCAACAATTACAATCGGGTCGAGAGGAGGTCTATAGGAAGATCATAAATCACTAGTTTTTTTTCATATTCCTGGCTTTAAACTTAACAGAAAAATATATGTGCACACTGATTTGTTTCTTTTGTCTTCATCCCTTTGCCTCCCTGCAGGCCAGAGCCATGAGGAGGCGGCTAGGCTGATCGCTGGGTGTTGGGTGAGCCGCTCCAGACCCGAGGTGGAGTTCATGGTTGTGGAAAGGAAACCCACTGCCGCAGACGTCCGCCGCTCCTCAATATCCCTTCTCTCACAGATGTGAGCACCTGGGTGAGGGGGGTCCTAAAGGGGGACCCTCAGGTGAGCTAGACTTGGAACCCTGGTGTGTTCACAAAGCTGACAGACGTCCTGAAAAATGTGATCACCTGGGAGAGCTCCAACAGGTGTGTAGGTGGTAAGCTCCGACAAATGTGGTGAAAGACACAAACACTAGCGCAAGCTTCGGCAGGTGTGTTTGAAGATGTTAACCGGTAGGCAGGTTGACAGGAATTTGGGATCACCTAGGCGAACTGTGTCGCCAATCTCCTACAGGTGGGTGGGGCTGAGTTTCTACAGGTGTGGTGCAAAATGTAAACACCTGTGCGAGCTCCAGTTAGTGTGCTGAAAGAGGTAAACATCTGGACGAGCTCCGACAAGTTGGATGGAAGATGTGATCACCTAGCGACCCCTATCAGATGTGTTGGCGAACTTCGCCAGGTGTGTGGACGAGTTTCTACAGGTGTGGTGAAAATGTAAGCACCTGGGTAAACTCCAACAAGTGTGTGGACTAGCTCCCATGGGTGTCGCAGGAGTCCGTTGTATTTCTTGCGGCAGATGCGGCGCCGTTGGGACAATGTGGATTATCTTGACCCAGGCTTCAGGAGCTATGGTTTAAGTGGTAATCAGTAAACATTGTTAAAACACTCATAATGATTAATGCATATTTTATAGAAAAAAAATTTGAAATTTGCGCGTAAGGTGAAAGCTGCAAAAGTTAAAACTCGAAAATCCAAATAAAACATTTTAAACTGCAGAAAAGACAGTAAGAAAAAATTTTCAGTGTAGCATATACTCTTATAAACATCACAGTGTTTTAATGTAATTATATGAATTCCTCTATGGAAAGGCATTATAGGAAAATAAATAAAAAACATGCCGAGAGCAATTAATATAAATAAATAATCGGCTATGACTCGCAATCTACAAAATATATCGCAACTAAATGTTTTCTTGTGGATAATTACTAATAGGAAAACAAGCAATAGCACTGAAATTAAATTACTGGAAAATTTCACAAGATGGGAGACACAGGACTATACACACCAAGAGTCACACATCTACTGAACAATTAATTTCTTATATTAGGGATCGAAGTATCCCAGACCGATTGTGAAGAGGTTACAAGCAGCCTGTCCGAAGCGTAGTCAAAAGGCTCTAAACCCAAGTAACCAACCATCCAACCAGATGGGAAACCTGGTCACTGTATAACGGACCTCAACACACTTGTTTTCCATCACACGAAGATGTGTAATGATCGTCGGGTATGAGGGAAGCATCGTCGGGTGTGAGTGAAGCATCGTCGGGTGTGAGTGAAGCATCGTCGGGAGTGAGTGAAGCATCGTCGGGTGTGAGGGGAGCATCCAGTGGTTGGTACGGTCGGAACTCCCACTGCGAATGCTTATTATTTACATTTGGTTTTGGAAATACGAGACACAAAAGATACACAAAGTAACACGCTGTTATTGAAATATGCAAAGTGCAGCAGTTGTTGGTCCTAGAGCAAATCTTGTTGAACTAATTTTATAATAGGGGAAGTGGGGGGGGGGGGTAGATTTTCTATCGTTGAAATATCTTTTAAATATCATTACAATGTATCATATAGAATCACAGTTATTTTTCGCATCTGGCCTTTTTCAGGGTCTAAATGCACGCTTATATGGCAAGCGTGCATGGCAAACGAAAAGTATTAAAGTTTTCTCGGTCTACACTGTTGCTGTCGCCTTCATGGTCTTGTGGTTAAAGCACTGGCCTGCTAGGTACTGAATTGCTTTACCATTGTTCGGATACAACCCTTTCTCCGAGATATTTGAAGTCGATTTTCGTGAGTCGGTATGGTCGATGTGATTATCCTACATTTCAGAAGCAAATTTTAGGGAGTAACCGTTAGCATTTTTTCAGTTTTTATTGCTTACAATATACCTGCCCGGTAAAGGGTTTTAATATATAATTTTTTGAAAGGATTTTTTTTAATGTGACGAACACGACTTGCCTTAAATATGCAAAATAAATTCTCTGTCGCATGTTATTACTAAACGTACACTTATTTGTAGTAATGCATAAGAAAAATTAAATATTTTTCATATATACTCTGATATACAAAATACCACCATCAGGATGCTACAGTGTGGTGATCATTTGCTCTTTTAAATTAAGCGGGAAACTTCCCAGTACATTTTACAATATATTAATTTCTTTGCGGGGTGGTCTGGTAAGCCAATGAAAGGCATCTGTTAAGTGACCTATACAGGTAATCATACAAGTAAAACCCGCGTTTGGAAGAAATTTCCCCATTTCACCTGATGGACTAGAGTTCCAACTGACGTCGGTCACATAACCTGAAGCTCCAGTGAGCGGCTCATCCTGTGACAAAGACCCAATTCAGAACATATTATTCCATTTCTCATGACAAACTAAATACCTTTAAACTTTATCTCGTATGGAACGTGTTTCTAAAAGGACTCTGCTGCTCTATATAAGTAATTTTAAGAACGTCTCTGTTCGTAATCAGGTAACATACATATCGTGGCTCAGTGTTAGAATTTGTCACCATCTATAACATTCTTCAAAGAGACTGGTTCATACCCTTATCTAAGGGTGAAAATAAAAGTCATAAGACAGTAACTTTATTACTAACAAAATTAAAACAACTATTTCATGTGCTTATTATTTTAGGCAACACTTCCGAAAACGTATAAATATATGGTCGAAACACAGCAATAGTTTTTTGTTTTTAATAATTGTGATATCAGCCCTGTGTCACTGCTGTCTTTAACTCGTCGTTGTGTTTACATTTATGGCTCCATATGTGGACTATGGGATTATCCTCTTCGATGGCGAATTTCATCTCTTAATCTGCTGAGGCAGAGCCAATAACCTCGTATCTTCACGTTTCATCACAGGAAGAAGACAACTTCCCTGACACTACCACCAATTTCTTCATCTATATTTCTTACTGGCACACACCATGATGATCTACATTCAGTGAAGTTAATGTTAAAGTAACATTATCTACAGACGCATGCGATCCATCGTGCATGTTAATGGACATAACGAATACTGAGTTATGTGACTAACCACTCGCTAGTCAACACGTAACTGTCCAGTTTGTGGCTACCCTCTCACCAGACAACACAGTAAGTGGCCAACTTGTGCCCGACCTCTTACCGGTTGACTCAGCAAGTGTCCAGCTTGTAAATACCTTCTTACCATTTGACAGAGGAAGTTGCCAGGATGTGGCCAGTGTTATAACAGACTCATAATTCCCTTAGACCAAATAAAATATCTTGAGTGACACTCGGATAATTCAATAAATATTTCTTTTCTTTTATTGGACATCGCTGGTACTTTATATAAATTTATAACATTAGAACATCAACGCGATAATGCACATTAAGTCATTGCGTTGACATGTCCTAACACGATACAATCATGGACCTGGAAAGCCATGACTTTAAACACAAGAGACGTGAGACTAAAGTTCTATCACCGTGGAGTCAACAGAATAAATTCTCTTTAATGTACATACAAAGGACCAAAGTCTTATCACCTTACATACATGGGACTGAAGTCCTATCACCGTTTATACATGAGGCTGAAGTCTTATAACCGTACATACATGGGGCTGAAATCCATTCACAAAACAGATAAGGGACTGCATTCTCATCACCGTACAGACAAGGGAGTGAATGAAGTCTTACCATCGTACAGACATAGAGCTAAAGTCTCATGTCTGTGCAGACATAAGGCTAAATTCTCACCACCGTATAAATATAGGACTTAAGTCTTATTACCGTACAGATATGGAAAATAACTGTTAAGAAAACCACGAATCACTTCAAGGTGCTGAACATTTTGATGTAACATTTTTAACGATGTGTAGTGTGTGAAGATGATGTGTAACCTCCTCTGTATAAGGCGTACTGGGGACCGACCCTAGGAGGGTCTTGTATTGCAAGTCCTCAGCTATACCGACTCAACCGCAGTGTGTTCCAACGAACTCTTGTGTGGGTAGCCATAACTGTAGCTTAACTAACTTTTATATAGAAATCTAATGTTGCATCCTGGATGCAACATCAGATCAATATTTGATCACTTCTGACCATGAAATGAGACCTCACTCTCAGACACTAACCAATTGTTAATTTCAATATTGAAATTCTCATTTCATGGTAAATTTGTTCAACTCGAACATTTTTGATCAATAAATGGCAACATTCTGAACAAAAATTGCATAAAAATAATAGTCACAGACGAAGCGACGAAGACAAAACTTGAATAAGAGGTAAACTATGCATGAAAAACTATAACAAATAGCGATTCCTGAAAATTTAAGTTTTCCTGACAGATTCAGTCGAGGGCCAGCGGAGTGTCTGATTAATCATATGGCCAGATTGATGAAGTTGTGAGTAGCAATGAGTAAAGAACGTTTAACAGTTGCTGAAGTCATAACTCGCAAGGCTTGGTAAGAGACTATTTTAAGGCATAACAGTGTTAAGAGTCGATCTCCAGTCCTGAGAGTTCCTAAACCCCACAGTATCTGGAGTCATTCCATCCACCACGTTAAAATGAATCTGATTTTCATTGATGCTAACTAGATTTCATCACTTTATACGGAGGTTTTGAGGATAGACTGACCCATACTAACTGCTCTCGAATGTTAGGGAAAACTCAAGTAAGACGTGAAGAGAAGGTCGTGAAAATCAATTCAGAGCGCAAACGGAACCTTAGTAAGCTTCACTGATTCTGATTTTCTTTTACCTTTCAGATAATAAACTGATTAGAATCTGGCCCAGGGGATTATAAAGTCCCAAATTCGAATCTACCAGAAGTCATGTCTAAACAAAAAATATTAATTACAAAATTGCTTGCGTTAGATGAGGTGGCAGATTCATACCCGACAGGCCTTATTTTTCACGTTGTTACTAAATTTTGATAAAAGAATCACACTTTTCTTAGGGTGTTCCACGGTGTTTCTGGAGATCTGGAGAGAGTTCCGGGGGTCAACGCCCCCGCGGCCCGGTCTGTGACCAGGCCTCCTTAGGTCAGTGTCCCAGGATGCGACCCACACCAGTCGACTAACACCCAGGTACCCATTTTACTGATGGGGAACATAGACAACAGGTGGAAAGAAACACGTCCAATGTTTCTACTCTGGCTGGGAATCGAACCCAGGCCCTCACCGTGTGAAGCGAGAGCGTTAACCACCAGGCCACCAGAGCCAAAATTTATAATTTCTTCTTAGGTATATAGCAAAAACAGGCTACTCATTCTGGCTGTGACTCTTGTTAGTTACCAAGGATGTAGCATCATTATTGAGTACCGAAGATTATTTATCGTAGTCAGTCATTTAATAATCTGAAATGTTAAGGGAAAGTATGTATGTGTTGTGGTATAACTAAATAAGATTGTGCTTTCACATATATATATATATATATATATATATATATATATATATATATATATATATATATATATATATATAGTATATGCAAAACAACCACTGTGAAAGAATAGAGAAAACCTACAAATAACTGTTCCTATGTCCATTATTCTTTACATCAAGATAGAGTTAAACTGTCTGTTTTCTCATCAATGTTTTTGAGAGCTTTACGTATTTGTAGTCCAGAGTTCATAGATGAGGAAATATCCAAAATTTATGAAATAGGTAATATATATATATATATATATATATATATATATATATATATATATATATATATATATATATATATATATATTATGCAATAGGATCACAGTAAACAGGTGATTTCAGAATATGCAAAACAACCACTCTGAAAGAATAGAGAAATTCCAAGCGCTTTCGTGACTACTTACATTATCAAGGAACTATGATAGTTCCTTGATAATGTGAGTAGTCACGAAAGCGCTTGGAATTTCTCTATTCTTTCAGAGTGGTTGTTTTGCATTTATTATATATATTATATATATATATATATATATATATATATATATATATATATATATATATACAGTAGGGCCCCACTTATACGGCGGGTTAGGTTCCAGGCTACCGCCGTAAAGCGGAAATCGCCGTAAAGTGGAACACCCTTTTTTTCCACTTATAAATGCATACAAACACTAGATAACAAGTTTACACTAACATATATTAAGTTAGCAATAGAACCAGGCATCAAAAAACAATAAAAAGGTACAATACACACATAGTGCACTCATTACTTACCTTAAAATATTTATAGTCTTAATCTAGGGTGAGACAAGTAGTATTTATTGTAAGAAATCAAGTGTGGTATGTATTGTAATAGCCTCACCAGGCCACCCCACCCACATACTATTCTATGATATTTAAGCATCCCAGAGCGATAAAATGTATATACAGTTCACTCATTACTTACCTTAAAATATTTGTAGTCTTAATGTAGGGTCAGGAGTAAGTAAATGAGATAAAACGAATAAATGAGAGAGAGAAAGAATGAATACATGAGAGGGGGCAGGCGCAGTTATGTAAACAAACCAGGGGAAGGTAAGTTTTGTAAACAAACGAAGTGTACACGTCTGGTTTGTGTACAAGTTACATTGTGTACAGGTTGTCTCTACATTGATACGGTAGAATTAATAAAGAAGAACACTCCCATTCTCATGTAACATCATTTTGAGAAGAAATGAAGCTCTGAGTGAAGGCAATGGAAATAAGTCACACTGACTTTTTTGGGTTATCCTAGGTTCTCTACACGTATGTTGTTATGTATGATAATCTATGTAACTGTATTTGTGTATACCTGAATAAACTTACATACATACGAAAGGAATAATTTTCTACAGTTACCCCCAGTAACACATTTACTCTTATGTTAGATTAGAGAAAATGTTATTCTTGGCGTCACTTGTACAAGTTATGTGGCTCCCACATCTTATATTTATGTTTATTTATTCTATTGTGGGGTGTATTTATCATCTTTTTATGTTATGTATCGTGTTTATTATATAATTTTGAAAAAAATATCATGGATGGATTAATGAAAATGTGTATATTACCGTAATATACGACATTTAATGAGACTCGGTATTGTTATTATCACCACTTGTGCAAGTCGTCTGCTACGACATCTCACATTTGTTTATTTATTCTACTGTGGGGTGTATTTATCTTATTTATATGTTATGCATCGTGTTTATTATATGATTTTGAAAAAAATATCATGGATGGATTAATGAAAATGTGTATATTACCGTAATATACGACATTTAATGAGACTCAGTATTGTTATTATCACCACTTGTGCAAGTCGTCTGCTCACATCTCACATTTGTTTATTTATTCTACTGTGGGGTGTATTTATCTTATTTATATGTTATGCATCGTGTTTATTATATAATTTTGAAAAAAATATCATGGATGGATTAATGAAAATG